ACGAAAATCCAGATGCAGCATATATTTAATGCATTAAAATCCACTTTTTACATTCATTATCTAAAGCCTGTTTGGCCAAGCTNGACGTTCTTCCGATCTATAGCGTAAGTATATATATAAATATATTTATAAGCTATATTCGATACAGTATTACCTAATACACTTATACTTAGTGCATAGTATAGCATAAGTATATATATATATACACATATAGACGCAGACGCACGATTCGTAGTACTATTCATCCCTTGTATTACAAAAGTATTAACGGCTTACATTTATATTATTTAGATAGTAAATACAAAAAGTGATTTTTAATTTTGACCATTGTTGACCTGAATGGAGACCAATTCTGGTCGCTATTTTTTCAGATTTAATTTATTTCATATAATATTTAAATTAATAATATAATTATTAAAATTGTATAACTGGGTCCCATTGGAGCGACCAGAGTTGGTCGCTACCTGCCTACCCTTTAGTTAGCGACCAACGTTGGTCGCAATTTTTATATTATATATATTTATATTTTATAATTTTTTTAAAATTATAATAGTGGGTCCCACGTGAGCGACCAACATTGGTCGCTAATCTCAGTAAATGTTTGACCAAGAAAGTCTGACCAGTCCAGTCAACATTTTGACTATTATAGCGACCAATTGGCGACCAATCTTGGTCGCTATTTGTTTCTTTTATTTATTTTATTATTTTCGCTAGTTTAGCGACCAACTTTGGTCACTTTTTCTCACAGACCAACTTTAGTCGCTAAATTTTGGTCGCTTTTTTTCGAATTTCTAGTAGTGCAACTTATTCATGTAGAAATCTGGCATCCACAAGTTTTGCTAGTGTACATATGTTGTTGTATTATTAACTATCTGTATAGTTAGATAGGAATTTCGAAAATTTATTTTTTTGTATATATGTAATTTAAATTTCAGATGACCGATTTAATAGTTATATAACACAATTACTTTGGTGAAACAAAAGTAGTACAGTATTATTTTTCTTCTTTATTATAGGAAGGCTTTATTTCATTATTGAGAAGGTTAAGCACTTTGTGGTTCAGCCAAAATCAATCTGAAGATATAAGTTGGTCATCTCCAACCTATCAATTTCAACTTATAAAATTTTGGTTTGACCAATTATTTACTATTTTGTTCTTTTTTTTTCTTCTTTTTTTTGTAATTCCCGGAATACTCTTCCTAAATCAAAATCATAACTATCTCTCTATTCCATTTTTGTCATTCGCCATTTTTAATGTAATGTAAGATTATGTTTCTTCTAAATGGTTTTAAGGATATTTCAATTATTGTAATAAAAAAAGTGATTATCAATAATTTTTTACCAATATTAACGGTTAATTATCCGTCTCGGTACTTCTATTCAAATAAGTAATTTTTTAGTCATAGAATCAGCACTTGGTGTTTTTCAGAACGTGATACCTAATCACCTAACTCAAAATGTCGTCTACTTGTTTTAAATAAAAAAACTTTGCTAATATATTATACGTACCATGAAAATTTCAGTTGTTTTCACTTTTCTTTCGGTTTTCTCTGTTTCTTTTTTTTTCAAACCACTTCTCTTTTTTCACAGCAAAGTTTCTCCTTTATTATATGCTGTCACTAATCACTATACAAAAGTTAAAGGAAGATATTACATCTTCTCGATAATTAGCCACTTCATTATCGCTACTATAATAGCTCAAAATTCAAATTCTAGTGCACTATCAAGGTCAGTGACGGACATGATAACGCTGCGTTTACACGCACACCCACCGCTCAACGTGCCTGTTTGTCTGTCCCACGTCTATGGTGTTAACTGTTACACGGTTTGAAGCACTATCCGCCCTTTCTATAACTTGTACTGCCATTATAGTTGAATTCCAGACTTTGGTCCGTGACTCGGCGTATTCAGAATTTCAAAAAGATGAATACAATATTATTAAGAAGTAAATTTATGAATTGGTTTGACGGTTTAATCTATTATATACATTTTTAGCTAATATACCACCAGGCAATGTGTTTTATTTGGCAGCTTTTTTTTGAATTTATAGGTTTAACTTAATTTTTTTACATATATATTTGTAAAAAATATTGAGATCCATTGAACTCACTGACTATGTGATACATCATCCATTGCTACTATTATTCATATAAATATTGTTTGACCAAAAAGATGTCGAAACCTTTTTGATTAAATCAATTAATGAAGATAAAGAGGCAAATCTTAGTCAAACATAATAAACTCCAGATCTAAAAACGAATCAGAAAGTGATGAATAAGATAAAATAAGGGCGATCAATCTTATTGATGTCTTTTCCTTTTTTCTCTCGTGATACAGTGAGGATGATCAACTTACATGATAGTGAGGATGATCAATTTGCATTCTTTCTTCTAAGAAAGCTGCAGAAGAGAGGAAAGAGAGAAAAAGCCCCCCTTCACTTGGAAGATTCTTCCCATATATATAGTCCTGGAGTCCTTGCTATACTCTTTGGTCGATGTGCCTCCATACTACGACCGTTTTTGTCGTTACTTGAGTATTGCTTTTTGACTTAATATGCACTGTAGGCACTTGGATTGGAGCAAGTCGTGACGTCTCTCACTATCCCGCCACTTAAGCGGGATCCCAGTTGGGTCGACCGCTGTGGTCAGATTTTGACCAATATAGTTAGTCCCTCCGTCCGTCGGGGTCGTCTCTTGTCGGGCACGGCGGGCGGATTACAATTTCAAACAATTAGGAGAAATCTGACTGTTCGCGCCTTGGGCGTAGCTTTTAGATCGAGATAATGGCGCGGCGCTCCAACGATACCTTTGGACGGTCGTGACCATTTCGGAATCGAAGCGTTGTTTAATTCGAAACGTCGTTTGGGGCTGTTGTCATTATGACACACGTTTACTGGGGATTAAACCGTTTCATGCCCTATCAGCTTTGATTGGCGACTTTTGGGTTTCCCGCTTGGGTCATTTATGTCCCTATAAATAGGAGAAAAACACCATTTGATTGGCACACTTTTTGCCTTTGTTAAAAGAATTTTTTGGATCTACCTCTTTTCTGATACTCCAGATTTTTGGTTCTCTCCTGCTGTCCAGAAATTGACATCTCAGTCTCTTCTTTCCTTCTTAGTTCCTTCGTTTTCTTTTAAGTCGAGATAAATGGCTGATAGTTCTTCCCGTGCTAGCGATCCTGCCGCAGCTCAGGCGCCGGAATATGATGTTCTTGCTCCCGGAGGAGTAGTGATAAGTGCATTTTACTTAATTTTTAACATATAATTTCTTTGAAAAAATACAACAAAAAAAACTATCATATTTCTTCATACTTTTTCTAAATTATGCAGGAAAAGTTAAAGAAGGATTGGTCCGGGAACGAGAAGATTACAGAGGAAAAAGTAGAAAAACGGACAAGCTAAAGCAAAGTAAAATATGGTGCTAAAGAAAGACGTGATATGCCATGACAAAGGACAACCGACTCACAACCGGCTACAACAAACTATAACCGACTCACAACCGGCTACAACAAACTATAACCGACTCACAACCGGCTACAACAAACTATAACCGATCCATAACCAAAGAAGCTCATAACCAAGCATAACAAGGCCACAACCAGCCATAACAAGTTCATATCCAAGAGTGTATTGAAAAGTTTGTCATGGCTTGGCTATAAAAGAGGCATCAATCGTGAAATGAAAGAGGGGAGAGCGAGGAAGAATCTGAGAAGTGAAATATTGAGCAGAAAGCTTTTCCTTTCTCTCTGTTCTTTAGTTTCTCTTCTTTTTCATCTTTTAACCATTATATTGGCTTCATTTCTAGTTCAGAATAAATTGTAGTATTGGAAATTATTCTAGTTCCTGTTTTTCATTAAATAGGGGGAATTATTCTCTTGAATATTTCTTTCTATTTTCTTATTTAATGGGCAAGATTATTTCCGTTGTCGGTATTGGCTCCAATATGGAGTAACTTTTCTTGTGTTGGAAAAATGACGGATCTTAATATCTTTATATAATAGTAGATATTATTCTTCAATTTCGCATACTTGAGCTGAAGCTTTTTATTTAAATTTTATCTGCTTTATAGTTGGGTGTTATTTAATTTGTTAACATCTATCTATTTAGTACTACATATTAACTTCTTACTAATTCTGTAATCGAAAGAGGCAGAAGAGGTAATAGTTAATTTTGGTATTGATAGATGTTAACCTACATTTAGTGACATCTAGCTCTTATATGTTAAAATTGATTCTACTCTTATTTGTAATCGAAAGAGGCGAATATTGTATTAATCAGTTATAACAAATAGGGTAACCGAAAGGGACTTACTAAAAAAGAGCATGCTTTAGTTCAAATATATATTTCTGGTTCTTTAATATTGCCATTTTGACAATTAATTTGTATAACCGAGAGGAGTACACTTAATTGTTCAACTATAGTAATAATATATAAATGTAATCGTGAGAGGCATTTATACATTTATGAGAAATAGAAGTTGAAGAATAAATGTATTTACTATATCATAAAAAATATTAAGTGAAGTCAAGATCCCAACACCTTTTTATTATATTTGTGAAAAACAAAAATATTTTCTATTGCTCCATTCGTGTTTTTTTTTAGTTAGTTAATTTAAAACTCAACTCTTTCTGATTTTCTCAAATAGTAACTAAAACAAGAAACATTTGTAGAATAGATAAACCAATCTCTGTGGGTTCGACATCTTTCTATACTATTATTTGACAGAGTACGAGTTAAAATTTTATATACGCTAGACACTCGTCAAATTTTTGGCGCCGTTGCCGGGGATTGGCTAAAGTCTACTACAGATTAATTGTTTTACTACTAATTTGAGATTTTTTTTGTCTAATCATTTTAACTTTTCTACAGAAATTTCAGAAAGTGTATGACCCGTTCCTCTTCTAGAGAACTAGTCAAATACGATCCTGAAATTGAAAAATCTTTACGGTTGTTGCGAAAAGAACAAACCTCACGATCTCAAATTTTCACAATAGAGGAAATGGAGAACGAAGAACTCAATAACCAACTTCCACCACATCAAGTAGAAGAACAGTTTGATGAGGTGGCACCACGACGTGATAGAATACTCCGTGATTATGCAAGGCCAGATCATTTTGAAGGAGAATCAAGTGTGAGGAGACCACCAATTGCAGCAAACAACTTTGAAATCCGCACAGGCTTGATTCAAAACATTCAACAGTCATGTCAGTTTACTGGTGATGCGAGTGAAGATCCTCACACCCATCTAATTGATTTTCTTGAATTAGTTGAAACTTGCAGGTATAATGGAGTCACAACAGACGCCATCAGGTTGCGGCTTTTTCCTTTTTCTTTAAAAGGTGAAGCAAAAATATGGTTGCGAAGTCTGCCTAGAGGTTCAATCACTACATGGGACCAAATGACTCAGAAATTTCTTAATAAATATTTTCCACCTGCAAAAACATTTAAAATGAAGCAAGAAATCAATAATTTTGTGCAAATAGACACTGAATCTGTATACCAAGCATGGGAACGATTAAAATCAATGCTAAGAAAATGCCCACACCATGGTATCCAAGATCCTGACATTTTATATATTTTCTATCACGGTCTTAAACCCTCTGCTAGAAATGTAATTGATGCAGCATCAGGAGGATCAATAATGGGAAAAACTACTACACAAGCAATGCACTTTCTTAATGAAATTTCGGAAAATGCTGTTCAATGGCCCTCTGACAGAATGATTATCAAAAATACGGTAGGAGTAAATCAAGTTGAAGCTTTGAATTTATTGACACAACAAATTGCGACTTTAACACAAAAAGTGGAGGCTTTTCAGGTAGGTGCTCACTCATCATCCCAACTTGAGAATTGTGATGTTTGTCAAGGTAATCATCCGAATCATGAATGTCAAGCTTCAGCGCAAAATGAAGAACAGGTAAATATGATTGGTTATAGAAATACTTACTCATTTGGTAGTCCCATGGCACAAAAACATCCAGGATTTCAATGGAGTAATCCTGATGGTGCTGAAAATCCTCAAAGATTTTTTAATCAAAATCGGCAGGTAAAGGGACCACCTGGTTTTCAAAATCAAAACAGAGGGCAACAAGATTTCCAGAAATATCAACAACCACCCCAAAGAGCTCATCAGCAAAGCCTCGAAGACATAATGTACAAATTCATTAAGGCTACTGATGAGAAGGTTGAAAGTCAAAGTTCAGCCATCAAGAATTTAGAAATTCAGATGAGCCAATTAGCAACCCTCATGTCTGAACAAATAAAAGGTGCTCTACCAAGCAACACCGAGAAAAATCCAAAGGAACACCTCAAAGCCATCTCTCTGCGGTCAGGTAAAACTCTTGATGATCCATATGCAGGTAGACAAGGAAAACCACAAGAATTGGGACAGGTAAATGAAGGTGAGAATAAAAGAGACTCTGAACTTCCAAAAGAACAAAAAGATAAAGGAAAAAAGGTACAAGAAAATGAATTGATGATAAATCCTCACTCTGTACCGCTCCCTTTTCCCCAAAAGATGAAAAGAGAAAATCTTGACAAACAGTTTTCAAAGTTTCTGGATATTTTAAAGCAATTGTACATTAACATACCTTTCACAAAATCTTTGACACAAATGCCTTCATATGCTAAATTTCTCAAAAAAATTTTGTCAAGTAAAAGAAAATTGGAAGAAGTTTCAGTTGTTAAGCTTACAGAGAAATGTAGTGCTATACTTCAAAATAAGCTTCCACAGAAACTTGGCGATCCAGGGAGTTTTACAATTCCTTGTACTGTGGGAGGTGCTCACTTTGAAAAGGCGTTATGTGATTCAGGTGCTTCAATAAATCTAATGCCTTTTTCAATTTTCAGGAAATTAGAACTTGGTGAAAAAAAGGATACTGGTGTGTCTCTTCAATTAGCTGATCAAAGTACTAAGAAACCAAAAGGAATTATTGAAAATATCCTTGTCAGAGTGACAAATTTGTATTCCCAGTAGATTTCATAGTGCTTGAAATGGAAGAAAATACTGAGGTACCATTAATTTTAGGGAGACCATTTCTCGCAACAGGGAGAGCAATTATTGATGTTCATCAAGGACAACTAATTTTGCGAGTTGATGAGGAAAGAGTAATTTTTGACATGCAGAAAATGATAAAATATCCTGGGGATGAGTCATCATCATCTTGTTTTCAAATTGACTTACTAGATGACCTTGAAGATGAATACAAAGATAATCAGTTAATTACTGATTCATTGGAAAGATGTTTAGTCAGCCTAGGTACCACAAGTGATGAAAATGCCACAATCAAAGAAGAAGCAGAAACATTGGAAAAAGAATCAGAAAATGAGAAAGTCTCACAAGAAGAAGTTCAATCAAAAATTGAACTCAAAAATCTTCCTTCTCATTTAAAATATGTTTTTCTTGAACCTGAATTATTTCCGGTAATCATTTCATCTTCTTTGACTCCAGAACAGGAATCCAAAGTAATAGAAGTCTTGAGGAAACATAAAAGAGCTTTAGGGTGGACTATAGCTGACATCAAAGGAATCAATCCAGCTATTTGTATGCATAGGATCCTCATGGAAGAAAATTATAAACCAATAGTCCAACCACAAAGGAGACTGAATCCAGCAATGCAAGAAGTTGTCAAGAAAGAAGTGGTGAAACTTCTAGCGGCAGGTATCATTTATCCAATATCTGATAGCCCTTTGGGTAAATCCTATACATGTAGTACCAAAGAAAGGAGGTATGACCGTAATAAAAAATAAAAATAATGAACTCATACCTACTAGAACAGTCACAGGATGGAGTGTCTGTATTGATTACAGACGACTTAATGATGCCACGAGGAAGGATCATTTTCCTTTGACTTTTATTGACCAAATGCTTGAAAGAATTGCAGGCCATAGTTTTTATTATTTTCTTGACGGATATTCTGGGTATAATCAGATACCAATTGCTCCAGAAGATCAGGAGAAAACCACATTCACATGCCCCCAAGGTACGTATGCTTACAGAAGAATGCCATTTGGACTATGTAACGCTCCTGCTACATTTCAGCGTTGCATGTCGGCAATTTTCTCATATATGACTGAAAAGTTTCTTGAAATTTTCATGGATGATTTCACAATTTTTAGTAAGACATTTGAAGATTGTCTCTATCATTTAACTTTGGTGCTTAAAAGATATGAAGAGACAAATCTAGTTCTTAACTGGGAAAAGTGTCACTTTATGGTAACAAAAGGAATTATTTTAGGACATAAAATCACTGCTAAAGGAATAGAAGTTGATAAAGCTAAAATTAATCTTATAGCAGGATTATCATCTCCCACCACTGTTAAAGGTATTAGAAGTTTCTTAGGGCATGCAGGTTTTTACAGAAGGTTTATGAAAGACTTTTCAGAATTTTCAAAACCTCTGACTAACCTACTAATGAAAGATGTTAAGTTTGAATTTTCAGATGATTGCAAAAAAGCATTTGAGTTTCTCAAAGAACAATTAACTAATGCTCCAATTGTTGTCTCTCCTGATTGGAACCAGCCATTTGAAATAATGTATGCAAGTGATATAGCAGTAGGAGCGATATTGGGACAAAAGAAAAATAAGATCTTTAGACCCATATACTATGCCAGCAGGACCCTCAATGAAGCTCCAATGAATTATGCAACAACCGAGAAAGAGTTATTGGCAGTAGTATTTGCGTTTGACAAATTTCGTTCTTATTTGATATGAACGAAGGTTACAGTGTTCACCGATCATGCAGCCTTAAAGTATCTATTAGCAAAGAAAGACGCTAGACCTAGATTGCTAAGATGGATACTCCTTTTGCAAGAATTTGATCTCGAAATAAAAGATAGAAAAGTTTCAGAAAATCAGGTAGCTGATCATTTGTCCCGTTTAGAGAATCCTCCTACTGAAATACTAGATATCCAAGAGGAATTTCCTGATAAGCATATCTTTTCAGTCACGACGGTTGTAACTAAACCGCCTTGATTTGCTGATATTGCCAATTATTTAGCGGGGGGGTGGATTCCAAAAGATTTATCTTACGATCAAAGAAAAAAGCTTTAAAAAGAGGCAAAATATTATTATTGGGAGGATCCCTATTTGTTTAAATTTTGTGCAGATGACATAATCAGGAGATGTGTACCTGAAACAGAAATGAACAATATTTTAAGTCACTGCCATGATGGAGCTGTAGGAGGACACTATGGAGGAAGAAAGACAGCAGCTAAAGTACTTGAAGCTGGATTTTTCTGGCCTACTCTATTCAAAGATACAAGGAATTATGTCGCCAGTTGCGATAAATGCTAAAGAATCGGTAAAAATCGTCTATTGCAGCTTGATGAGTTGGAAGAGTTCAGACTTACAGCATACGAAAATGCTAAATTGTACAAGGAAAAGACAAAAAAGTGGCATGACAAGCTCATCCGCCATAAAGATTTTAAAGTGGGAGATCATGTTCTGCTGTACAATAGCCGATTGAGATTATTCCCAGGAAAGTTTAAGTCACGCTGGACAGGACCATATATAGTAACAGGAATGACCCCCTATGGTGCCGTTGAAGTACAACATGCAGATGGGGGAGACAAATTCAAAGTAAATGGTCATCGTTTGAAGCCATATATCAGCATATTCTTCAACAAACAGGCTTCAACAATCCTTTTTGCCTAATTTTTAAAATAAGTCGAGCTGGCGACATTAAACTCAGAACTATTTTCTTCCCCTCTCTTTAATCTTTTAAGTAATTATTAGTAGTAACATATAATATTTCCTTTTTAGTAAATATATATATAATTAAATTAGTTTTTCTTCTTATAAAAAAAATTAAAAAATAATAATAATTGCATGTTTGTATTATATTATATATATAAATATGTATGTAGTATGTATTAATATATTTTGCCATGATGAAAAAAAAAAACACTCCCATAATTTAGACAATGAAAGGTTTCTCCTATCATGAAAAAGAACATTTCTTTGCTATAATCTTGTCTTTGTTATATGAGAGAAACTTTGAGAAGCCAAGAAAAAGGAAATGAGGCTAGAATCAGAAAAAATCAGGGAAGCTCCTTTATCTCCTTTTACTGTTAATTTATTTTGTCATGAGGACATGACGTTATTTAAGCTTGGGGTAGAGGAATATATTTGTTATATGTATTTTTTTTAGTTATACATATAAAAAAATTAAAAAAAAAAACTGAAAAAAAAATAAAACAAAATTTGAGTTGCCTTTTTCCTAAGGCAGCTTACTTCATGTACTTCCATGGATTTCTTGTTCGGTTCTTTGTCATGGTCGTAATATTTTGAATCGAACATTTTTTTTAGACTTTTAATTGCTTTAACTTATTTTGGTAAATAAGTTGGCTAAACTTGATTTGACTTGAAAAGTATGACACTTAAGAAAGACAAATTTGATTAAGTACACGGGTTCTATGATCACTTTTCTAAGCTCATACTTACTTATTGGTGATTTAAATCATAGTTTTCGTTAGCCCAAGTGTATTGTGTTGTTAGCTTATATTGTCTAGTTCTCCTGCTTATCTGGAAATCTAGAACTTGCCTTGAATGTGGATTGAGGCGAAATTCTAGGTAGATCTTTGAGTTAAGAAATGAACGTAGGCCTTCTTTGTTGAGCCATAACCTAAATTGACCTACCTTAATGATTTTTATCCCTAGTTAGCCCAGTTGAGCCTAAATAAATTATCTCTTATTTTGTTGATCACCAAGCTTTAACCCTTAGCCTGTTTGTTGTTATGACTTGTTCTTTGTTCACCCAATTCCCTTTTGGGCACTTTAAGAGTTGATCTGAATGTAAAAATCTAGGCGTGAGGCGTAATTGTGAAAATAATTGGTGAAAGAATAATTGTTTGAGGTTGTCAATCTTTTGAGATGTTGCCATGAGAACTGAAAAAGAATGTTGCTTAATGAAATTCTTAAAAAAAAAAAGAAAAAGGGAGAGGATAGCAACAAAAAAATGTCGGCATCTCCGTCAAAAAAAAATGTGAAAGGGATGAAACAAATAGAGGTTATTGTTTAAATCATAGCAAAGACAATTGTGCTTAAGTGATAAAATAAAGTGTAGTGCCCATAGGGAATTTAAGTCATTATTATCCATATGTATCATACCTATCCCTAAACCTACATTACAACCTTGCAAAAGTCCTACATGATCTCGACTCAAAGACTCCTACATTATTGGAGAACCACATGATAGTCAAGCCTATGGCAATTTCCAGTAGCTTGAGGTACTTCTTTGTTGAGAGAGAGTGAATTTTTCTATCTATGCCCTTCTTTGTTCTACATCTATATATTGTGTGATATATGGGCATCTCTCTTCATTTGGTGAGACACACTAGGGATTAAGAAATATTATGATTTCAGTTCTCAATAGGTGAATATGAGTACGGTTAAAAGTTGTCTGAACTTGTGAATTGGTCTTAGTTACTTTTTCTTTGGCGAAAGGTCTCATGATTTTGGTTAAATTGTTTAGCCGATATGTTTAGTTATTCTATTTGCTCGAGGACGAGCAAATATTTAAGTGTGGGAGAATTTGATAAGTTCATTTTACTTAATTTTTAACATATAATTTCTTTGAAAAAATACAAAAAAAAACTATCATATTTCTTCATACTTTGTCTAAATTATGCAGGAAAAGTTAAAGAAGGATTGGTCCGGGAACGAAAAGATTACAGAGGAAAAAGTAGAAAAACGGACAAGCTAAAGGAAAGTAAAATATGGTGCTAAAGAAAGACGTGATATGCCATGACAAAGGACAACCGACTCACAACCGGCTACAACAAACTATAACCGACTCACAACCGGCTACAACAAACTATAACCGATCCATAACCAAAGAAGCTCATAACCAAGCATAACAAGGCCAAAACCAGCCATAACAAGTTCATATCCAAGAGTGTATTGAAAAGTTTGTCATGGCTTGGCTATAAAAGAGGCATCAATCGTGAAATGAAAGAGGAGAGAGCGAGGAAGAA